TAAAACCAGATCATATTGGGAATGAACTGGTGGGAGGAATTACTATGTGAAATTGGTGGCACCAATTATTCTGAAGGGGAAAATGCCTCACTTTCCAGATTCTGGTTGGTTGGTTAAGTCAATGCTTATCCATGTAACCAAGCCACATGATCCAACTGATACAGCACAGTCAAGAGAGGAAAGTGATGCAAGCAGTGCTAAAAATGTTTTTCTTCAAGACAATATGCCAACCCATGGTGACATTTTAACCCGACATGGTACAGTGTATACTTCAGACTGGAATATAATATCATGAAAAATGTTGCAGTTTTGCTTTGTTGGTTGCTATTTTGCTGAGGGGGGATGCCACTCATGGTGAAAACACATTTACTCATGAAGGGAGCAAAAGGCTACTCATAATGCAGCTGGGAAAAGGCTGCCAATAATTATTCCAGACTGAAGCTGCATTACAGAATTCCAATCTGCAAAAAAAGACTGGTGACATGGGAAAGTACAGAACCAGAATGTCCTTTCTGCCTTATCTTTGCATCAAGGAAATAGCTTGTGATCTTTCTTTCAGAACTCTAATGTGAGACACAAAGCTCATCCACCTAAAAATGTATTTCTGCCTTATGTGTTCCTGCTTTGGAAAGAAAAATCCTGGCTGCCAGCTCTGCTATTCTGTAAGCAACTGGCAAGATAGTTTTACCAATGAATAGAGAGCCCGCATGGCATAGTGGTTTGAGTGTTGCACTACGACTCTGGAGACCAGGGTCCAATTCCTAGTTTGGCCATGAAACCAACTGGGTGACCTTGGGCATGTCACATGCTCTCAACCTCAGGAGAAGGCAATGGCAAACCTCCTCTGAATAAATCTTGCTAAGAAAACCCCATAAGCCTTAGAGTTGCCATAAGTGGGAAACAACTTGAAGGCACACAACAACATAATGATATAATGAGAGCCTGCATGGCATAGTGGTTTGAGCATTGGACTATGATCCTGAAGACCAGGGTTCAGTTCCACACTCAGCCATGGAAACCTACTGAGTAACCTTGGGTGAGTCACATACTCTGAATCCCAGAAAACCCTGTGATAGGGTCACCTTAGGGTAGCCATAAGTTGGAAATGACTTGAAGGCACACAATGACAACAACATAATGACATTGTTCCCAGCTAGCATGTGAGATTCTTGCAGCTGTATGGCTCAGGGTTAGCCTATAGGTTTATTGTTGTTCACCTGGACTCCAGTTTATAGAAACCCTACCACAGGGTTTTCTTGGCAAGATTTGTTTGAGGGGGTGGGCTTTGCCTTTCTCTGAGACAGAAATAGTGTGACTTGTTCAAGATAGTTGAGCAGGGATTCAAACCCTGGTCTCCTGTAGTTCAACAGTCAGACCATTACTTCACACTAGCCTATGGTTTCATTAGTGATAAAGGGGGAAAAAACTCAATTCTGATGTCATGAACTCCCATACCACCACCATTAGGTGAGGGATAGACATTATGTGGCCCTTATGATTTTTGTTGGATTGAAACTCCAAGCTTTCTTCAACCTTGTCTTGTATTGGCTACAGCTGGTGGGAGTTGTAGTGTATCATCATCTGGAGGGCAATATCACTCCCACCCCCTCTGTGGACCTTATCACACGGGGTCTAAAGCAGACCCAGTCCACACTCAATCCCGTCCTATTGCGCTTTATTTTTCCGTGAGTTCACATGACATCGCACACAACCCCGTCCCAACCCCGTCCCAATGCGGCATCATCCCCGTTCTTTTGAATGCCGGTTTCTTGGGGAATTGCAATTGCGCAACGAGAATGATACCGCAATAATAGTGCTTTCACCGTATGTCTGATCACCAGATACGTATCGTAGAGCCCAGGCCCAGCGCAGGCTGGAAGGGGTGTGTGTGACAGCTGGCTGTCTCTCTCTCT